CCCTTTGTCAGTCTCACCGTAGATGTGCATGCGTGTGTGTGTGTGTGTGTGTGTGTGTGTGTGTGATGGGCAGAGGGCTGTAAAGGGCTTGGAAAGAGCGAAGAGCTAAGCTGAGATGTGAGGAAGGTGAGAGGAGGGAGAAGTGCAAATACAGGCAGGGCCTCAACAAAAAGCCAGCTGCACACACCCCCTACAAAGAACTACGGCCTCCTGCTTGTGTCTTTTAGGTTGAGCTAAATCGAGGCAATAATGTCCTCTATTGGAGAACCACGGCCTTCTCGGTGTGGTCCAAAGGTTCCAAGCCCGTGCTGGTGAGAAACATCGCCATAACAGGTACCAGAGCAGGTTGGGTGTGGGGTCTGTGGCCAACTTCCTGCCCCTGACTTAGCCTCAGTCCCTCAGCTCAGGCTCATCCTGCTCATCTGTGCCCTTCCTCCTCCCTAGGGGTGGCCTACACTTCAGAATGCTTCCCCTGCAAACCTGGCACCTACGCGGACAAGCAGGGCTCCTCCTCCTGCAAACTGTGCCCAGCCAACACTTACTCAAATAAAGGAGAAACTACTTGCCACCCTTGTGACCCTGACAAATACTCAGGTGATGTTTCTGGGGGCGGGAAAAGTTTGGGGGTGTGTGGAGGGTAGGCGTCAGCAAACACACAGGGAAAAGCCAGGAAGTAAAGCCATCTTTCCAATCAAGCGGATGATAATAATTGCTAAACGTTTCCTTTCTGGACCCTGGAAGGTCCTTGGCAATCTGTATCTCTACCGATCACTCTGAAAATAAAAATGAAATCATTCAATAGGTATTTCCTGGGCCTCTCCTGTCTGCCAGGCCCAGTTCTAGGTGCTTGGAACATGTTAGTGAATAGGACATACTAAGGTTCCTGTCTTCATGAAGTTTGAATTTCAGTGGGGGAAAGACAGACAATAAACGATACGTAATAAATGACACAGAAATGATGAAGTCTGTCGTGCGTTAGATGGTAGAACGTGCTCTGGAGCCCTGGCCAAAAGAAAAAGCAGTTCAGAGGTACGAGGACTAGGACCAGGGAAAGGGGTTGCAAATTTCTTTCTTTCTTTTTTTGCTGGCAGGCACACATATTGGCCAGAGAGAGGAAGAATAGTCACCCCCCAATGGGAAATGGTCATACCACAATCCTTTCTCCTCCATGTCTCCCTCCTATCAGGATTTGTGACATGCACACATACCCTGCAAGGGCCAGGATTTGAACTGCAGTCAGTCATGTGGGATCCAGCTACGAAGCTGGCCCAACAAGGTTTTTTTTTTTTTTTTTTTTTTTAAAAAAAAAGCAGTGATTTTTTAAAAACTGAAATCTTATACAAGATTATAATTATACAATAACAGATACAATAGATAAAATAAGGGGTATACATTTATGTATTATATGCATTTTAATTTATAAAAATAATTACCTGATTCCTAAGGATGATGAAGCTGTATTGATCATTGCAGACATTTTGATAACAAGGGCTAAAGATGAGAGTTACCCTGTTCCAGGTGGTATGGTGGCACAGAGGTCCTGGGATTGTACCCCAGCACTTCCCTGGTCACGTGCACACCCATGATCTAGGCTGGCTGAGACGGGGGGTGGACTGCAGTGTGGAGGCCCTGTGGAGAGTGCCTGTCTCTCTCTCTTTCTCTCTCTCTCATAGAAGAAATAAATAAACTTTTTAAAAATGGAAGTTATGGGGTCAGGAGGTAGAGTAGTGGTTGAGGTGCTGATTTCCCATATGGTCAACCGTGGTTCATGTCCTGGACCTGGCAGCTTAAAGCTCATGCCAGGCATGTGTGCGTGTGCCCAAAATCCCAAGAGGAGCATGAAGGAGAAGAGATTGCGGTCATCCCTTCTGGGGGTTATTTCTCATTTTCGATCTCTCTGTCTTCCCTGGCTCACGCACACGCCCTATAGCAAAAATTTCTTGGGGAAAAAAAAAAAGGAGGTTATATTTGTCAACCTGAGTATCCACTGAATTCAAAGCAGGCATTTTGGAGAAATCCAGGGCTCTTTGGAACATAGTTTGAAACCCACTACTCTAAGGGGAAGGGAAGGGACTGCTGGGAGCAGCCTAGTTTTACAGCTCCTGAAGCAGCTCAGCTGGAGAAGCAGGACCTGACCACTTGACAAAGCCTCGGGAAATGGATAATGCCACCAGAGGGCCCTGTGCTTGGCATGGGGGTAGTCTCCAACACAGGCTGACACAGACAAGAAGGAAGAGAGAAAGTTCCTTTTCCCCTGGGAGCACTGTAACTGTGTTTCCTTTCCTACACAGAACCACGTACAAACCCAGCAAAAGGCCTGTCTCAAGCAGACCCTCCTATCCCAACGCAGACATACCCACACTTCAACAGGTGTGATGGTACGTTTGCTCGGCCAAGACCAGCCATGACCTTGTAAACTGCTTATTTCTACACTATTCCTAAAACAAAAGCCCTATTTATCTACACAGATCTTGCTAAATGAGTAGAATTTTCAGCCAGAACTAGAATGTTTAGATCTTGGGGAAAGTTTTTATCTGTAAGTCTAAAGTCCTGTTTTTCCGCCTGAATTCCTTATTCCTCTCTCCCGCTCTGGCTCTATCAATGGCAGTCTTTGTTAACGTAAGTGTCTGGCTCCCTTCCCAGCCCAGCAGTTGTACAAGGGTTTAAATGGCAAGGTGGTTCCAAGAAAACTGCCCAGGAGTGTTTTGGTCAATTCTGTGAAAATCATTTTTATCCAGCGTTAGATTTGGAGTCTAAATTCTTGTAGTCTCTTCTGCCACCGATTTCTCAACCTGCCCCTTTGAGAAGTGAGTTTTTGCTATGAAGAACATAGTCAACTTGTTGACCGCCTCGCTAGTTTGGGGTGCAAAGAGAGTCACATTTCTTTGAGACTTGACTCTTCCAGAACACAGGGTCTGTGGGAGTCTGGGAAAATGCAGTCTGATGAGAGTCTCTGAAGGAAGGGACATGAAGCGAGTGACAGAAAACCCACCAGTTTACAGAAAGATTCTGAGTGCCTGCAGGGTGCCAAGGGCAGGGCCTGGTGCTGGTACCTGCTCTCCAGCTTGTGTCGAAAGCGGAACTGTGGTTATATAAACCCCTAGCGCACCTGTCCAAGGTGCAGAATGTGTTGGGATAGGAGCGCTGGGTGTAGCATGCGGTGGGAAGCAGAGAAGGAAGGAAGTGGTTAGCCCTCTTTGGGAAGGGAGGAGAGGATTCACTAGCTCATATCTTTTAAGATGAGTCTTCAAAGGTGAATTGGGGGCCAGCAAGTGGCATGGTGCTTAAGGGGCTAGATGCTGGACTCCACATGGCCAACCACGGTTCAAGTCTCAGACCCAGCAGCTTGAAAACCTTGCCAGTGTGTGTATGGCATGCCCCAAGTCTCAAGAAGAGAATGGAGGAGAAGGGATCCCAGTGACCATCCCCTCTGGGGGATGATTTCTCACTTTCCCTTACTCTCTGACTCTCTCAAGCAAGTGTACACACCCTATGACAAAAACCTAAGGAAAAAAAAAGATGAACTGGGGATTTGGTGGGGGTTGGACATTTGGGATAGAAGTCCGAGCCAAGGTCCGAAGGTTTAGGGAACTGCTATAATTCAGCATGGCTGGAAATGAAATAGAGAAGTGCTCAGATTATTCAGGGCGGGCAAGGAATTGATTATAGAGTAGTCTTCCTGTTCTATTGCCAAAAAGATTAGGGATTAGATCCTATCAGCCGCAGAGGCCATTATAGGACTGTAAGATGGGAAGTGATATGATCTGCCTTGTGCATTGAAAGACCACCCTGGCTGCCATGTGAAAGTGGCAGAGAATGACTGGAGGCAGAGACCACAGGTGGGAGAATTTGCAGCAGGTGCTGTTGCCAGGATTGAGGTCTAAAGTGGAGCTAATGGGAACAGAGCCTGGAGAACACCAGGAGAGATGTTTAGGACAAAAGGTGGACTAAACGCATCTTTCCATTGACACACAAGATTTCATCATGAGAATTAACTCCTGTGTGCGTGTGTTGATATTAGCGGTCTATTCCCTAATATAATAGCACAGAGTTCCAGAGCAAGGATCCAGAACTAAGGGACTCGGATTCAATCCTTGGTCTACCACTCACCAGCTCTGCCACCTCCAGCTAGTTACTTGTCTGTGCCTCCATTTCTTCATCATAACATGAGAATGACAATAATCTCATCTACCTTAGGTACTATTGTAAGGACTGACTAATATAGGCAAAGGATTTAGAAAGGGGCCTGGCATATAGTCAGCACTGATTTTTATTATTGCATTTACATTAAGGCCTGTCTTGACACTTTTAAAAAAAATAATTATTTATTTAATTCCATTTAATTCCAATTAATTGTTGTTAGTATTATTATTATTAAATTTGACCAGACAGAGACAGAGAGAGAGAGAGAGAAGGAAAGTGAGAAAGCAAGTCGCCAGATCCAGGACTCAAACTACAGTCTGCCATGTGGAAATCCAGTGCCCCCAACCACCATGCCACCTGCTGGCTCCAATCTTCTTTTTTTAATATGAAAATACTCTTGGTCTAGGTTACAATAATATGAAGTCATTTATATAGTACTTTACAATTGACAAAATATTATCTCTTGTATTACTCACAGTATAGTGAGGGAGTGGTATCCCCATTTACAAATGAATGAAGAGAAGCTCAGAGAGGCTAAGGGGTTTGCCAGGCATCTGATCTGGTATCTGGGCCTTATGTTCATTTGGTACTTAAATCCACAAGGGAGGTTTTTGTTTTTTTTTGTTTTGTTTTTTTTTTTGAGAGGTTTTTTTCTATAGGGCACGTGCACTCGCCAGACAGAAAGAGAGAGACAAAGAGAGGGAAAGTGAGAAATCACCCCCCAGGGGGAATGGTCACGCCGCAATCACTTCTCCTCCATTCTCCTCTCGGGATCTTGGGCACGCACGCACGCACATGTGCCCAGCGTGAGTTTTAAGCCACTGGGTCCAGGACTCGAACTGCGATCGACTACATGGGAGTCCAACGACATAGCCATTACACTAACTGCTGGTCCCAAGAGAGATGTTTTCCTTTGATAAAATAGATCCAAGTGAGAACATTATACTCCTGAAGGCGGGAGAAGATACTGAAAGGAGGGAGCGAGGTGCAGGAAGAGAAGTCAGGGCTCCAGAGATAAACTCCGTCTTCAGTTATACCAGGACTGGTTCTACTGAACTCACTGTTCGCTCCCTCAACCATGCATCCAGGCGGATCGCTTCAACTTGACTAATACCCAAGTTAAACACCTCGATGAAACCGGAGCTTGGAAAGCTAGTGCTGTCCCAGCATGTGGGTTAATCATTTATGAAAACCACCTTAGCAGTGACCAGTATGTAAACAGCTGGACCATTTTTGCTGAAACCCAGAGCTAGGGTATCAGGTTGAGCAAATATTTGTCAAACAAAGAAAGGCCTTTGTGCAGAGTGCATTTTCTAACACGTCACCTGTACTTCGCTAGACTTGATACACAAGGTCCTGGGAATTAGCACGTCTTCAGCATCTCTCCCAAACTTCTCCTGGCTAAGTCAGTTAAAAGAGTCCCATGAGCACCAGCAGTTAGCGTAATGGCTGTGTCGCTGGACTCCCATGTAGTCAACCGAAATTCGAGCTTCAGACCCGGTGGCTTAAACTCACACTGGGCGCATGTGCGTGTGTGCCCAAGATCCCAAGAGGAGAAAGGAGAAGAAGGGATTGCAGCATGGCTATCCTCCCTGGGGGGTGGTTTCTCGCTTTCTGTCTCTCTGTCTCTCTCTGTCTTTCTGGCGAGCGCACGTGCCCTATAACAACAACAACAAAAAAACTTCCCATATAACAAAAACAACAAAAAAACCCTCAAAAAAAAAAAAAAAGAGACCCATGGAGCCAGCAAGTGGCATAGTGGTTAAGGTGTTGGACTCCCCACATTGTCAACTGTGGTTTGCATCCTGGACCTGGTGGTTTGAAAGTCACGCTGGGGGCCAGCAAATGGTTACATTGCTGGACTCTCAAGTAGTTGACTGTGGTTCAAGACTTGGGTCTGGAAGCATAAAATTCACACTGAACGTGTTTGTGCACAGCTGAAATCCCAAGAGGAGGGTGAAAGAAAAGGGATTGTGGCGTGGCCATTCCCGGGGGCGGGGGGAGATTTCTCACTTTCTGTCTCTGTCTCTCTGGCAAGTGCATACTCCCTATAGCAAAAAATCTCTCTTTAAAAAGAGAAGAAAGCCCGCTGGGTACTTGTGTGTGCATGCCCAAAATCCCAGCTGCAGAACGGAGGAGCAGGGATTGTGTGTCTGTCACCCACCCTGGCGGGGGTGTGTGTGTGGGGGGGCTGATTTCTCACTTTCCCTCTCACTGTTTCTGGCAAAGAAAGACAAAGAGACGGAAAGTGAGAAATCACCCCCCAGGGGGAATGGTCTACCACTCACCAGCTCTGCCACCTCCAGCAAGTTACTTGTCTGTGCCTCCATTTCTTCATCATAACATGAGAATGACAATAAGCTCATCTACCTTAGGTATTATTGTAAGTCCTGACTAATACAGGCAAAGGATTTAGAAAGGGGCCTGGCATGTAGTCAGCACTGACCAACTTTTTTTTTTTTTTTTATGGTGCCCTATGGCAAAAACCTTTAAAAAAATAAAAATAAAAATAAAACAAACCCCTCGAGTCCCTGGATCCCTCTATGCTGAATTGGGCCTTCTGCTTGTTAACCAAGTAAATGAACTGAGAAGAGCCCAGCTGTTTCCTGGCCCGTAGCTCCCTCTTGGACAGCCTAATAGGGTGAGGACAGGAGAGGTGTGAAAATGTGCTGTTGAGGGAATTCCCCAAAGCAAGGAGTTCATTTGGTGCCTTGGGAAGAAGGAGTCAGCTGACAAAATAAACCCTACCCTGGAAGGAAGGGAAAGACATTTTAATCTTTATTTAATCTCCTTTGACAGTTCCCAAATAAAAATAATTCCCAAACATGCAGTGAGCAAGTTACTGTTATGTGCCTAATACTGTGCCGGGTACATGCTGCCTCCAGCAGGGTAGATATTGCTGTTCCTGCTCCGTACGTGAGAGAGCCAGAGCCCAGAGAGGTTAAGTAATTTGCCGAAAGTGACACAGAGACCAAATGATGGAGCAGGGTCCAAATCCGGATCCGTGTAGCTAGACTCTCATTGCACTACCCCATACTACCTGTCAGGTAATGTACAGCACGAAAGAGGCCTTGCTCTTGTTTAATGCTTGCCTTCAGGTGACACAGTGTCATATTAGAAGTAGCAGTGGCAGCAGCAGAAGTAGTAGGATAATGTGCACTTACCTGTAAAGCATGGTTTTTATTCTGGAGATAGTAAATTTGGGGACATTTTTATGTACATGACTTAGGCATATTTTTGAAAGTAGAGAAAAACAGCTCTTCTTTCCAAACTTCAAAGGAGTTTCTATCCAAAAAGGTGCAAACAGGGCCGGTAGTGCAGTGAGTTAAGTGCGTTGGGAGCCAGATCCCACATGGCCAACCATAGTTCAAATTCCAGCCTAGTGGCTTGAATAACATCCCAGCTTAGTGGCTTGAAAATCCTGATGGGGGGGACCAGCAGTTGGCGTAATGGCTATGTCGCTGGACTTGCACGTAGTTGACCGCGGTTCACGTCCCAGACCTGGCAACTTAAACACACGCCAGGCACGTGTGCGTGCGTGCCCAAGATCCCGAGAGGAGAATGGAGGAGAAGGGATTGCAGCGTGGCCATCCCCCCTGGGGGGGATTTCTCTCTTTCTGTCTCTTTCTGTCTCTCTGTTTTTCTGGCAAGCGCACGCACCCTATAGCAAAAACCTCTTCAAACAAACAAACAAACAAAAAAAACTGGTGGCATGGAGAAATGGAGGAAAAGGGATTAAGGTGTGTGCATATCCCACTGGGGGTGCCCTCTCTCTCTCTCTCTTTCTTTCTGGTGAGCACATGTGCCTGCTGGAAACTTAAAAGCAAACAAACAAACAAACAACAACAACAGCTGGAAACTTAAAAACAAACAAACAAACAAACAACAACAACAACAACAAACTTTTTTTTTTTAAGGTGAAACTAGTTCACAATGAAAGAGGGCTTCACTGAAATAGTTCTTGCTACCCAGGGATTCATAGGGTTAAAGCGATACTAATATAGACATAAGGAGAACATACAGAGAGCAGGATAAAACTGAGAGCTGTGTATTTCATGAGAGTGAGATCAAGAAAGAGAGAGAGAGAAGAAAGAGAGAAAGAAAGAGAAAAGAAGGAAGAAAGAAAGAGGAAAAGATCTCTCATCAGGGACTCACATGCCTGGTGTTTACAGGTCAGCCAGGGAACCGAACCAGTGGTCTTCCACACAGATCTATTGATAGCATCACTTGAGCAGTGCGTTATGGAGGCACCACTGAGCTGACGGAAGTTAACATTCTTTATTAGGTGAGGTCAAGGGTTAAAGGTAGTGTTGGGTTGCTTGGATTGAGGAAAATGGAAAGAAATTTCTAAAGTGGCATCCAAAGAAATGACCACCTCATTCATGTAGGGTGGAGAAGGCGGAAATTTCCGAGATGAAAGGCCTTCATCCAAGACATACATTAGGAAAGAATTCAAGAGCCAGGTGGCATGGTGGTTAAGTTGCTGGACTCCCATGTGGCTGACGACGGTTGAGTCCTGGACGTGGCAGCTTGCTTTCTCACTTTCTGTATATCTCTCTCCAGTGAGCGCATGAACCCTATAACAAATTAAAATAATAATAATAATGATAAATAAAATAAAATTAAATAAATCTTTTTAAAAAGAAAATTCAGAGAAAGCTTGGAATGCGTTAAGAAAGCAATGTCCTAAGCTGTATGTGTTTTACTTCAACCCCTCGGGGTAGAAAACCACACCACAGTCAGGGTAGTAAAGCACCTGGAAGATGGCACGGTTCAGAGAACGGGGGTGATGGTTAACCTGCAAGATGCTATTTCCAGTTACCCTCCTCATCCTGGTCCTCTGGCCAGGCCACTTCTCTACTCCCTGCCCTAGCGTGTGGGGCCACTGGTTCCTGATCAGCACCCAGAAGAGTTGCAAACAGATATCTGAACGGGGCTTTGGGAACTGGGAATGACACCACTGAGGCAATGGGAAGGGTGGGCATGCCGGCTTTTCCACTACTGTCTGTGGAGTGATCTATCCAGGGTCCAGGGTCCTAGGAGTCCCAGGGTCATGATTATGTGATGAAGAGCTCTGTTTTTTGTTTTTTTGTTTTTTGTTTTTTAAGGAAGATTTTTACTATAGGGATCATGTGCTCACCGGAGAGACAGAGAGACGGAAAGCAAGAAATCACCCCCCCTCGAGGGGGATGGCTATGCTGCTATCCCTTCTCCTCCATTCTCCTCTCTGGATCATGGGCACGCACGCACACGCACCCAGCATGAGTTTAAGCCACTGGGTCTGGGACTCGAACTGCAGTCGACTATGTGGCAATCCAGAGACATAATCATTACGCCATCTGCTGGTCCCCTCTGCTTTCTTATATAACTTTAAATGTTTTTTCCTGTTGTGCTCATTTAGGAAAAGGATCCTCCTCCTGCAAAGTTCGTCCGGCCTGCACAGACAAAGATTACTTTTACACCCACACAGCCTGTGATGCCAATGGAGAGGTGGGTAGCTTGGTTGTGGAGCCCCTTGGCCCCAGAGAGACTGTCTCCCGCTACCTGGATTTTACCACCCCAGATCTTTGCAGTGACCCCAGGACTAGTGGTGGGGGGATGAAAACGAGATAGCTTTATTCATTTGCAGGTCAGAAACATTTGGCTGCATTTGTACCACTGCTTATTCACGTATGACCTGTTTCGAAAGGCCATCTCATTTCTCGTGCTTGGCCTCTCCCATTTGCTTATACCTGGGCAGACCTGCTTGTCCATGCGTGCGTACTTCCTCACAGAGGTTATTGGACTTGTCCCCTAAGTGCTGCTTCTGCGGGTTGGTCAGGGCAATGAGCTCGTACTTTCTGGATCACTGGCGAGTGGCCTGACAAGTTTGGTCTCTGCTGTCTCTCTGTCAGCCGGGATTTCTGCCTCAGACAAGCCTTTTCTTTGTAGTCATGCTGTCTCGGAGTAAACGCGCACTTGGCAGGTGCTCCCCGTGTGTCTGGACTACTGGCTGGGCAGTCAGACAGGTGCCTGCCCTCCTGTGTGGGAAGCTGGAGAGAAAGGAAAGATGGGCCTGATGGGGCAACCAGGGGGATGTACAGGGATGCACCTACCAGGTCTGGGCCAGCTTCCTCTAGAGGAAGCTATTTGTTCATTTCAACAATCAACAACTACTTACTGAGCAGCTGCTATGTATCAGGCACTGTGCTAGGTACTAGGCACCCATCAGTGAACAAAACCCAGGGGACATCCAGCTCTCTAGAGCTTTCCTCTTGCTAGGGAGGCAGTGCAGAGGGAGGCAATAGCAAGTGGATCTGCAATATACCAAGAGGTGATAAGTGGTCGAAAGGAAAATACAAACCAGGATCGGGAATGACGGAGAGTGGGGATTTCATTTTAGAAAGGTGGGATGGCCTTTCCAAGGGGGTGACATTCAAGCAGAGACCTGGCTGAGATAAGGGAGAGGCCATGAGCTTTTTAGGGAGAGGGCACAGCGGGTGTAGAGGAGGTGGGTGTGTGCCTATCTGAACGGGGCTTAGAGAACAGCAATGAGCAGGCACGGGTGGGCTCAAGGGTGCAAGGAGAGGGGTCTGTCTTAGATTAGGCATTCCGGATGAATTTTCTTTCTTTAAACCAGAGCCTCCCAAGGAGACAGAATTAGAAGTCGGGAATTCTGCATTCAGCACTAAGCGTAAGGCTGGGTTCTTAGAATTCACAAGTGTTTGCTGGCTGGACTGCTAGCTGCATTCTCCCTTTGCTAATTAAGCATGAGATACAGTCTGGTCCTTAACAGGGATTATTTTTATGGTCATTTTACCACCACCACTACCCTCTTCCCCCTCCCTGATATCTCAGCCTCATCCTCTTCCCCAGCAGCCAAGAGAGGATGGCTGTGTCTTGTCAGTTGCAGCTTAGACCCAGTTCTATAGCATCTGGTGTCCGGTATGATCTGGTAAAAATTACTTTCATTTTATTGGTCTCAGTCAACTAATAAAATGGGGACATTAATCCAGTTCCTTGTCTCCCTCCAGGCAATGTGTGAGCTGCTGTGACTCCTTTGCTCCTTTGCCCGGCTCCCCGCCAGGTTCAGGCCAAGGCCTCCTAGCTCCGTAGTGTGTCTGCTGCCCACAGGCCTGTGTGTCTGCCTGGGCCTGACTGCCGCGGGGGCCTTTAGACACTGGGTCAGCCAGGGCCTGGAACACAGCCAAGGCCCCGCTCAGAGGAGAGCGCCGAAGGCCACATGGGTCCCTCCTTGAGACCTTGTCAGTTCTAATCCTGACAAAATGGACAGAGGCCTCACGCATTTGCCTTTTCACAAGTATGGTGTGCTATCCAGCTCGTTCCCTCACCCCCCAGCACAATTCTTGGGGGTGCCATTTTGTCTGAGGGTCATATGGGAAGACTGGAGCTGCCCAACATCACCCCTGACTCGGAGGGGTCGCCTGCAGGTCACCTCCCCTTCTGCACCCAATGCCTTCACTGAAAGAGGAGGATAGCCCCGCAGGTAATAAAATGCGGCTTCTCTTGGCCGTTGGCCTGAGGGCTTGACATCCCCCTGAACATGGTAACTGAAACCCTGCCTGCATTGTTAGCATAGCTGCTGCCCTTGGTATGGGAAGCTCTAGACAGCACGTTAGGTCTGCACAGAGATGGATTTGACTTTCTTTCTTTCTTTGTTTAATTGCCAGGGGGCATGTGTGCTAGCCAGAGAGAGATGGAGGAACGGACAGAGAAAGCATCTCCCAATGGGGCGTGGTCATGCTGCAATCCCTTCCCCTCATGTCTCCGTCCTGTAGGGACACACACATGCCCAGCATACTTTTAAGCTGCTGAGGCCTAGATCTGAACCTCAATCAGATATGCAGGATCTGGCTCCTTAACCACTAGGGTAGGGGCCCACCTGGATCTGGCTTTCTATAAATGTTTACTGAATAAATGAAAGAGCTGAGAATCCACCACTTAGAAAACAAATGGGAATATCTTGGCCATCCCCTCATTCTAGGGTGTGGGGTTATGCAAGCCCCCTTTGTGTTCTGAGATTTTTACTAGCTGCATTTCCTGGTACCTTGAGAGTAATAAGATTCTACAGTAGAATCCAAGCTTTCTCCGAAGACAGATGGCCCCCCATGTCCTCTGTCACAAGGTCCTCACTTGGCCTACCCCTTGTCATCCAGTCACCAGTGGTCTGGCAAATCTGCTGAGCACAGCCATGGGCAGGTGCTGGCCTAGGTGTCTGGGATACCTCGGTGACCAGAACTAAGTTGCCACCCTGGTGGAGCTCTCATTCTGGCCCTCCCTCCATCCTCGTTAGCATCCCGAAGGTGTGCTAAGTCCCATAGCAGCTGAGCCATGTGTAATCTGTTTCTGCAGACCCAGCTCATGTACAAATGGGCCATGCCGAAAATCTGTGCCGAGGACCTGGAGGGCGCAGTGCAGCTGCCTGCCTCTGGGGTGAAGACCCGCTGTCCACCCTGCAACCCAGGCTTCTTCAAGACCGCCAACAGCACCTGCGAGCCCTGCCCCTATGGCTCCTACTCCAACGGCTCCGGTAACCTCCTCCTGCCCTGCTCCGGTCACATCCATCCCCATATTGACCATGTGGCGGTGGTGGGGGTGGGGGTTGGGGCAGG